AAAAAAAAAAAAAAAAAAAAAAAAAAAAAAAAAAAGGAGATAAATATCAACAGCAAGACTTCTAGTACTTCTGCAGATCTGGTCTTGAAAATCTGCCACTGCTGAACTCCCAGAAATGTTTTGGGAGTGCAATGGAAAGAGGAAACCACACGGCTTTACATGAAGGAAAAGAAAGCTGCCTGACAGGGGTGTGCAAAGTGAATCAGCTGCGCTTTCTGATGGCTTGTCCAAGGAGCCTACTCCACTTATATAGCACTAGGAAAGCTTTTATCAGAGATATTCCAGGGTGAGGAGCTGGTAGAACTATGGAAAAAGTTGATGGCAGAAGCTGACAGCTGAGCACACCTAAATAAGTGAATTTCAAAGGCATAAATCTCTGTTCCCAGCCTGAGAYAGCAAGCAAGGAAAATGTGGGTCTGACTTTCCTGATGCTGGGCTTTTTTAAATCCTGGGCAAAACCTCCCCTAACTGAAGAGTTAAAGACACAAAACAACTGCCCTGCTTCTGCCCCACTGAACGCTGGAAGAGAAGCCCTGAAATTCTCTATGGTAGCACTAGCACCTTCACACCAAAGAAATAAAAACAGGAGATGGAAGGGATATGGGARAGACAAAGAAAGTCCTGCCTGCTGACAAACAAAACCAGCAGCAAACTGCATGTTCCCTGAAAGCAGCAGAGCCTGAGTCCTTAGAGATACAGCAGATTTCTGTGGCAGCACAACCCTTCCACATCAACATCTGTCACACAATATAGCTCAGGACATGGTGCCATTGCTTCACCTTCTGCATGATCTGATCTTTGGGATTGAAGAACACTTTTCAATCGTAAACAAAGCAGAGGAGGATAGCAAGGGGGAAGCATCAAAGAGCCCCCTACAGCTTGGGCATTTCCCCTCAATGAGCAGTAGTTTTCCTTCTTTGTTGAAGGACCTTTATCTTTTTATCTCCTGGAGGAGCAGGATATCCAGGAGATACTGTGCAGGTAACTTGAAACAAAGTTTRTACTCAAAATTTTAGTATTTTACTCAAACTCCATACAGCTGCACTAATGCAATGTTTTTATACAGAAAGGTTGAGCTGACTTTTTCTTTATATATAATTTTAAAGTAATTAATTATTRTAAATCGTAAGGGCCTTCAGTAGTTTATTCTCCCACAAAGAAAGCTGGAGTCAGCCCTGTGATGCCAGTGGGGACACAAATGCTGGACTAGCCTGCAAGCTGAAATAGCCTCTTGTGTAGCATCATCACAGGCAGGAATGAGGCAGTTTCCAACAGGTATTTTGGGATGAAATAACATGGTAATCTGAATTTCTCTCTTCCAGTCATTGTTGGAGACTATTTCACTCATCTTATTTTGCTTTCTTGCTCTTTTAAACCAGGTGCTTGAGTTCAATCAATTTTGATAATCAGACCCAAATATTTGTTGCCTCTGGTTTTTATTAAATATAAACCTCTCTGCAAATTACTACAGGCAGCACTGACTGCAAGTAAACACCAACACCCCAGAACATAATCACCTACCTCCCAGCACCTCACAGTCACTGTCAATGCTGTCGTGCACCCCTGCAAAGATGTTGGCTAGCGAGGAYTTGCCCACGCCGTGCTCCCCGATCAGCACCACCCGGTAGCAGCTGCTGCCAGACTCGGAGGAGATGACGGAGTCGGATGACTCCGAGGACCAGCTCCTTCTGTAATATTCATCAGGACTGATGGTGTACCGTTTCTGTGGGTTGTACTCGTTGGAGTCTTTCTGGACCAGCAGGTTCTTTCCATCAGCAGGGATGCTCCATCGCTGCTGCTGCTGGTGCAGATTGCTGTTGTGGTTGCGACGCATGGTAACGTTGTTGAGAGTCATTTTTAAYACCTAGTGAGAAATAGAGAAATCACAAATGTTACTCACAAAATATTTAGAAATTATCTCTTACTAGCCTCTAGTCAGCATATCACACTCCTCTGTTGGGACCTAACATATGAGAAAAGGAAAAGTAGCCTTTCCACACTCTTTCATGCTTGGTGGTACATGAAGAAATATTTCTTTTTAGTGAAACAGAGCCTATTTCCTAGGGATAACACCACCTCATGTGCGTAATTGTGTCTTGTTTAGCCCTTACGAGCTCAGGGCTGTGCTAGGCACAGTCCAGTCCTGGGAAGAGAGAGGCATTGCTGTGTCCCGGGAGGAGAAGGAAGGGACAGTGTTCACCACACGTCCTTCACAGCTGCTGCAGCCCTGCAGCGAGACTGCCTGTGGTCCAGGGAGTGCTCCCCYTCATTTGGCTGGACTGGGGACAAACAGAGGCACTGCTCTCAGCTGCCTCCAGCTGCTGGTGCTGCTGGGTGTGCAGCATCTTTCTCATGGTCTCAGTTAAGAGCTGAAACTCCTGGGAAAGCAATAAGGCATCATCCACTTAAGCCGCCCTGCTATAAAAAGTCCTGCAAGYAAGTCTTGCTGTGATGGGGTGGATTTGGGTCTTGTCTGTGGCCAGAAAAACAATGATCCTGCCTGAGACACTGTCTTTTTGACTGCTAAGAGGGATATTTTGGCTGGCTTAGTGAAGACCTGCATCTTTTCTGAGGAGGCACAAGTTATATCTTCCTTAGGAGATATCATGGGGAGAAAAGGCTCATTAATTTATAGATATTAAATCAATAACTTCATTACTGCACAAGTAATTAGATAGCCTCACTCTTCTTACATAAGCATAGCTCTTAATTACATTTTACTCAGCAAACTCTATTTTGCCTTGCTTCGAGGCAGAGAACAGTGATGTCATTCTCACAGGCCAACAGCTACCATTTTTAGGAAAGTTACTTTGATGCATTCCAGCTCCCAAAGTGACTGTTATTTAGACATTTTTCTTTTTTACCCCATGTAAAAAAGATGCTCCTCAGCTCTCTCCTCCATATGAGTAAATAGGGCAATTGTTTATAGAATTACCCAATCACCTTCAAACCCCAATAATAGGTGGKGAACAGTAAAAAGTACAGTAAAGCAGCAAAGCAACACTTACAAATTGCCATTCTTCTTCATACAAAACTGTCTGAAAACTTCTGTGAATAAATGCCCAGCAAGACAGGACAAATATACAGAAAAAGCACTGTCTGAACTTATTACAGCATATGCAATGTTTTCTCTGTGATATGAAGTACTTTGGGGTAAAATTAGATCATTTGAAYGGTCTTAATCACATTAACTTTGTCAGTAAAAAATACAACTAAAGAACAAATCATGCAATAAGAAAAGGCTGCTGCACAAACAAAATTAAATTTTTACTATGGCTAAATTTTAAAATGCATTTTTCCTTGCAGTATTCCCATTGAAAAGTCTAGATGAGAAAATCCAGCTCTGATTCAGCCAGACACAGAGAGTAACTCATAACTTGCAACAAGCAGTCACTCACAAAACCATCACAAACACAAATATTCTACTATTTAGCTTCTAACAAATTGTTAATGCTCCATTAAACAAAGCCAAATGAGTCCCTGTCACACACTATGCATCAAATTCAAACTGGTTTTGATGCCCCGCACTGCATTTAGCTGCCCAGGTCTCCAGCAACTTCAGTAAAAGAATGGGTCCAAATCCACTCTTACTTGTGCCAGGCTCCTGCAGCCAGTGCCGTCCTTTGGTCCCCTGCCCTTTTCTCTCGGTGGGCTGTCACACACTGAGCAGCTCTGCCGAAGTAAATCCTCTCCTACTCTGGGGCTGCCTCTTTAATTCTTTCTCAGCAAACCTGGTTTATATTAAGCCCATCTGATCAGAGACAGGGCTTTTCCGTGACGTGGCTGGCCTTTCCATACAACAGCCAGCCCCCAGCTGGGAGGAAGCAGACATGCAGGAGAGAAAAAAAAACTTGCAGACAATCTCAAAAGACTTACTCAAAATCATATGATTGCTTTAATACTGCCAGTAAAATAAACACTTTTGGTTCTTGCATGATGAAAACAGGAAAGTGGAACAAAAATAAATAATGCATGCTATTTAGCCTCAGACAGCTTTTAATTCATATGTTATCAAAATTAATGATGATTAAAATGTTAACTAAGTTTATTTAATGCATGAAATTCTGCAAATGTATTATGTATCTATTCTCTCTCTGCAAAACACACAACCTCCTGCTGGACAAAACACGTCTCTGAAATAAAATATCTGAATGTTATTTTGAAATTTTCTTAGAAGTAGGAATATTATTCTAGGGGCTTTGTTGGGTGGGTTTTTTTTGTTTGTTTGCTTTTGAAGCTCTAATATTTTCAAACCTGTTTTTCTCTGTTTGCCTCCAAGTGACTGTCTCCTGAATCTCCTTCAATCCAGTCTCCTGAACTGCAGAACCAGCTTTCTAACTTCTGCTTCTAAGTTTTACTACCAAGGGTTTAAAAAGACATCCAACTACAGAATTCAGTGTTACTGAAACKGGGTGTTGGCAAAGATGCATTAGAACACACAAAGCCTGCACAAAGTCACCCAGTGTTGATGCTGTGCACAGGGAAAATCAGCATACAGTGTACATGCCACAAGCCCAGGGTCTGGTCCTTAAATTTTTAGTCTCCTAGCCGATTAGCAGAAGAAATTTTTCCAGCAGGAAAAGAGATCTAAGCCTGTTGAAACATGTAACAACATACTTCTTCATTAACAAAGAGTAAGAAAAGGACAGAACTACCTGCTAGGGCTACCACAACTTTGGCAACCACTTACAGTTAGCTCCAGTTTTCCAAACTCTGGATTAAATATAATGAGGTTCTACAGTGTTCTTTTATATTTATATGTTTACATTTTATATTTACATTTATATTTACAATCTCCTAGTCCCTCAATCTAATAGGACTAGCTCTTCTCCTAGAAAGCCTGAGCAGCTTTGGTTTTGAGCAGGGGAAAGAGGTTTGGGTGTTTTTTGATGCTACAAGCAAGCAAATCTTTAACTGAAAATGTATCTTTATTGAAGGAAACACTGATTTGCAGAAAACACCTCCTTAACATTGCAATTGCAATTTCCTTGCTTTGTTTCCTTTTTTGCTTTATTGCATTCCTATGTCTTTCCTGAGGATTTTCAGAGACCTCCTGAGCCATTCTCAAGTTTTAAAAGCCAGGAACTTTTCACAAAGTGATAGACACTCGTCAATGTACATGAATGTACACAATGTACGTGCAGATCTACCAAGGGTAGAATTGAGCAAAAAAAAAATACCTGGCAGCAGCTAAACCGGCCCCAGGTCCTGCATCTTCACCTCATCTGTCTTCTACACATCAGGCTYTGGGCCTCTGCTGCTGAGTGATAATCCCAAAGAGCACTAAGTGCCACATCCCTCTGAGTAGGATGTCTTGTATTACTGCATCAAATGTAATTACTTCTCTCTCAGGGAAGGTTTGTGGCATGGATAGTACTTTTCAAAAATACTTTTGTTGTTGGCATACTCCACTGAAGTTGCTCATTTTTTGAAACATGCTGGAAATCAGGAAGGTGAGTGGGTGGTTGGAGTACTGTGCTCTGCACCTCAGGTTTGCTTAGCTCTCTATAAATTGCCTGTATTTTGTCACTGCTGAGTAAAAGAGCAAAACCTGTCCACTGCAGAACTGGAGAGATTTATGGCCAGAGTGATTGCAGCAGAGCTCATGTCTCACCCAAATGTTTAACATCCATCATAGCAGAAAGTGCAGACAGAAGAAGTAAACCAAAGTCAGAAAAGCCTTTGTGTTTAGCTGTAGTTTCTGTTAGATCAGGAATTGCTGCATGTCATCTTCCATACTCTTTTCATAAAATTCAAGGCAGACAAAGAAAACGAATCCCTCCAGAACTGTATAATATATCTCTTCCATAAAACCATCCACAAAGGCTGTCCCTAACATTGCATCAAAGGCTTGTATTTGGGGAACTTGAACATGTGTTTTCCTTTGTACTCTCTCTTCAGGTTTTCSAGCTGGAGAAGTAACTCTCCTGGCCCCATTCTGCACTACATAATCATAGGATGATATGTTGTTGTTCCTCAGGGAATGCCATCAGCACTCACGAATTTCACTTATCCGTGGGGAAAACACTTTCTTATTTGTTTATAAAGCTGAGGAGAGSTGCAGCCTTTTCAGCCTCCTGGTACTTACAAGGGATAACAGCTGACTGATTACTGAAATATATGAATTGAATCCTTCTCAGGGACAAAACCAATCCCATAGACTGATGGAGACTGGTACTGTCCTGGTTTCCCAGCCCTTTTGCACTCTTTGCTGGTCAACACTTTGGCAGCTCTCGTGCCTGCCTGGGACACAGGCACAAGAAGAGACAAACCATAAGGCCAGTGCTGTCGCAAAGCTCATGAGTGCTCAAATGTAACTGCCTGGTGCAGTAGTAAAATTCAGAGGCATTGTTTTGCACCCGTCTTATCCACTCTCTGTTTCATTAATCAACCTTAAAGGAATTCTCCTGCAGCCAGGATGAAGTAAACATTGCAGAGTAGCAGCTCTGCAATCCTTCCCCAGCCACTTAAAATTAGGCCAGGTGATGCCCAGAGCAATTAGGCAGAAATTTTCCATTGGATATAAAAGCAGTGCTTTTTAGCTGCCACTTAATTAACCAGTTTGTATTTGTGTAAATTATGGGAAAAGTAGTTCCTCRAACCACCTTCTGGCGTAAGAGCTGTCCACAGAGAGGACATAAATCATCTTGGAGTGGGAGGGAAATTCAAGGGAGAAAAAAAAAATACCAAATAAAAGCAGGAAAAACAAAATTCAGATTCCTTTTGATGAAAACTAAATGCAGCATGTCTGAAAGTGCACTTTCTCCCTATACATTCAGCAGAGGAGTTCACCTTCTTCTTTCCCCTCAGAAGACCCAGCTTAGTAGATTTTCTCCCAATAGTGAGTTGCCTGCAAATGCCATGAATGAGGTCTGTCTGCCTTA